CGGGTAGATCACGTGGGTAAACTACACGGGTAGACCACGTGGGTAGACTACGTGGGTCCCGTCGGGCTAAACCCGGCCCGCGACTTCATTTCACGCGACGCACAACCGCTCGCAATCGTCCTGCAGACAGCGAGATCTCACTGAGGGTCGCGGCTGTGATGGGAGGGGGGGTATGTGGCAGCGTTATGCGACGCATCGGGGCCCGGTCAGCCACAAGGGGGGCCCAGAATCAATAGATGAAGAGGTAACAACAATGTTGATAAAAAAAAATTCTAATACATTTATTCATTACAAATGACATGGACCGAGCTGGGTGATTAGCGGCATATGTGGCTATCGCATCAGAGAGCAGCAGCAGCAAGGCGCGCGATAACCTCATTGTGAATATCGTGCCTCAAATATATATTGTTTTATTAATAACTGTCACTGTGAGACGTGTCTGCCTCTAAACCCAGTGTACGGTGCAACTAAAATAATACATCTCTATAGTTATAGCCGACGTCTAATTGTAGACGGCGTTTAAAAACATCCGTAGCTATTTCAGTAAAGGATCTGGGGTGGGGGGGTCCCGTGGTCGTATCCTGCACAGCCACCGCCGTCACGGACCTGCTCACCGCCACTGCCACCAGCGGAACCGCAGCGGGCGTGGTGCTGGGGATGACCGCTTTCGACCGTCGCAATCTGAACCTCTGTGATGTAAAGCGCTTTCGTGGTGGCTCGGCGGATTCCTCCAGAATGAATAAACATTCTGATAAGGGGTGAAGGGGTGAGAGATCTCTGTCTTCGTGTGGATGGGCCATTGGTTGTCAAGCCCCAGGCACGGAGACAAGCGCAGGCCTGTGAGGGGGGTGCCAGCCGAGGTGACGGAGCCGCGGTGGCCTCAAAGTTGAGCGCAGCCTAAAGGCCGGGGTCCGTTGGGTCTTTGAGCGATCCTGTTTAGCTGCTGCTGCTGTTGTTCGTATTTACTCCGCCTGTTTGACCGAGGAAGGCCTCGCTGAGTCTCGTGACTCGTTTTCAGGAGGGTCCTGCCAAGTCAGGAGGAAGGAGGCTGCGCTGTGGGTAGAGCGGTGGCGCAGTGGTTAGCGTGCTAGGGCTCTGCTGTGAACTACGAACCCGGCCACCCGAGTTTGATTCCGACCCGCGACTAATATGATGGGCGATATCTATTTGAACTGGGTCATCTATCTCCACCCCTCCTGTCCCCCACACCCCCCTCCCCCACCTGCCTTCAACCCAAACTGTTCCCCAGGGTGAAGTATGGTCAAATAACCCCACGAACGAGCCAGCAGTGGATGCAAGTCGACACACAGGGACGGTGAACAAAGACTGCCGACTTGTTCCTCTTTCGTCTTCACTCACCCTGGATGTGTGAAGGCCAAGCAGGCGGGGGGCCTGGTGACTCGCTATCTCAGTGCCCACTGAGGCTTGCCAGGTGTTGTAGGTGCAGGGTTCGGGATGCGAGGCCAGGAGGTGGCAGTGCCCGTCTGGAGGTGGCTAGATGTTAACTACCTCGCCCCTGGTATACCGGAGGTCTTGGGTTCGATCTAAACCCTGACGCCTGCTGCTGTATATTTGGAGTTTGCGGTGTCTCTCTCCCCGTGGTCGCGTGGGTTTTTCTCCGCGTCCTCTCCAGGTGTTTTTGTCTCTCCACATTAGAAAGAACATCACGCGTTTAGAATGTTTGGCTGCGATAAATGTCCACACGAGGAAAAAGCCACTTTCGTTGAGATATCATTTGTGATAGGTCGCTTCTGAAAAAGAGCTGTATATATAGCGTCAGTGAGCCTTACCTGCTTAAATAAAAACATACTCTTTGGTTCTTTTGGTAAAGTCACGTAGGTAGAAAAGTAAAACAAAATAAAAAAATAGCTGTGATATATTTTATTTATTTTATATTATACCTACGTGACTTTACCGAAATAACCAGAGTATGGATTCCTGCAGTCACGAAAGCTTCAAATCAAGAATGAAAAATAAAATTCCGTGAGCTCTCCGGTTTCCTTCCACACGAGGCCAAAACGTGTTCATGTCGGCCGCAGTGTGGCAGGACCCTCCTGAGCGGAGAGCCTCGAGACTCGGGGAGGCGTTCGACGGCGAGAGATGAACACCGAGAGAGGCCTGGACGGGGCGCGTGTCTCCAAGGGCGTGCTCCTTGGGGTGTTTCACTCTTGTCCACGTGAATAGCAGCGCCCTGCTTAGTTCTCAATGGACTTCATCATCAGCATCATCAACTTCTTCTTGTCGTATGGCTGCTGATGCAGATGCAGAGCAACGACTTCACATTCAAGGCGGTCAAGCCACAGACAACCGCGTCAGGAGCAAGCGGAGTCGTACAGCAGCAGCAGCATCATCATCGCTGTGATGTCTCCATCGTTATTTGTGGATCGGGGCTTTGCGTCGTGACGCGTGGTACGGTCTGGACTGGATTGACCGCAGTCACACCTGCTTACAGGAGAGTTGTTATTTATTTTCCATTCGTGCATAATACAACAATACAACAATAGCGACGATGCATTTCACCATTCACAGCCCCTTTGTCAATCTACCGCTGGATGAAGGTCTCCCTCCCCGCGGGGGGTCATTGGTAAAGGTGGTGCGGGTAGACTGGGGCGGTGTGAGAGTTGAGGGTCAGGACCGGTCTATCATGCACCCATCACTCGCCACGCACGTTCGCCGTGCCCGGGACGTGAACTCGGAGATCCGGTTTCGTGTCGCAGTGCGCGAGACCGCTGGGCGTTTGCTCCCAGAGCTCAGTCCGGTGTCTGAACTCGTTGCTGCACCCCGTAGCTCTCGCGCTGGGGACAAGAGGCGCGTGTGCCAGCGTGTAGCCTGGCCTGGATGATGCATCACCACCACCACGGGGAGCGGTGGCGCCGTGGTTAGCGCACTGCGCCGCGAACTCCGCGCCACCCGAGTTCGTTTCCCGCTCGCGATCAACGACAGTGGCGAATTATCGGAACCGCTCGCGAGGCCCGAGGTCGACTCAAGCTTCATTGAGCACCTGGTGCAACGTGTGTAACAAACAATATCGCCACTGGGGGAGAGACAAAGGCGGCCGGGCGGGGTTATTCGCCACCACCTCCCCCCCCCCCGTCGTGGGCCGTGCCGTGCTAGCTTCGTCATAGAATGCTCGCTCACAGCACTTGCCCCAACAGTCTGTTAAAAGTTATACAGGGTCGGAGGGGGGAGCGAATCTTTGTCTTTCTGGAGACTTTGCAGTTTTTTCTTGGATTTTTCTGTTTGCGCATAGTCACTTTAAGATGTTTTCTTGTTCATGTTTTTGTTTTTTGTTTGTTGCGGTTGCACCCGATTCAAGAGCCGACTGGCTCACAGGGCTATACCTAATAAATGAAACTGAAATGTCTTTGTATTTAATGGCTTGCGCGCTCAGAGCCAAACGCATGGCTCGGGAACAGACATGAAAAGTGACGCAAACAGCACCCTGGGCCCTCGGCCGGGCCGCCACAAACCGACGACAGTCTGCGCCGACGACGCCGGAGACTGCGAAGCGAACCCCCACGTGGCTCCACCCCCCACCCCCACCACTATCGCCATGTGCGTCTCTGCTTTGAGCACCCCCCGCCACCTCGGAATTCTAAAGCTGCGCGCTCCCCCAGAACCCCTCTCCTCCTCCTCATTCTTTGAGCTTTGTCTCTAAAACTGAAGAAAGAAAGAAGGAGCGAGAGGGAGACATTCCTCTCGCTCCCACTCGCAGCCTCTGTCTCGGCACCCCCCCCCACTCCGCAGGCCATCCTCCCCCACAGCCACCACCCCCCACCATCACCACTCACCATCCTCCCCCACCGCCACCACCCCCCATCACAGCCACCACCCCCCACCATCACCACTCACCATCCTCCCCCACCGCCACCACCCCCCATCACAGCCACCATCCCCCACCACCACCACTCACCATCCTCCCCCACAGCCACTACCCCCCACCACTCACCATCCTTCCCCACAGCCACCACCCCCCACCATCACCACTCACCATCCTCCCCCACCGCCACCACCCCCCATCACAGCCACCATCCCCCACCATCACCACTCACCATCCTCCCCCACAGCCACTACCCCCCACCACTCACCATCCTTCCCCACAGCCACCACCCCCCATCACAGCCACCATCCCCCACCATCACCACTCACCATCCTCCCCCACAGCCACCATCCCCCACCACTCACCATCCTCCCCCACAGCCACCATCCCCTACCACTCACCACCCCCCACCACAGTCACCATCACTCACCATCCTCCCCCACAGCCACCACCCCCCACCATCACCACTCACCATCCTTCACCACAGTAACCATCCCCCACCATCACCCCCATAGCCACCATCACCATCCTCCTACACAGCAACTATAAACACTCCCCCACCATCCTCCCCCACCATCCTCCATCACCATCCTCCCCCCCACAGCCACCATCACCATCTCCCATCACTTTCCTCCCACCAGCGTCATCTTCCCACGCGACCACCACCCTACCTCAACAACATCACCAACCACCATCAACCTAACATCGACATCATCATCCGTGTACAGTAATTAGTGTCTCCGTGTTACCACGCGACTATAGAAGTTGTAATTACCCTCCCACCACCACCAGCATTCTCCAACCGCGAGCAACAACAACCGCAGCAAAGACAAAGAACCCCCGTGCAGCCTTAACCGACTGTTGGGGCAAGTGCTGTTAGCGAGTAGCACCTATGAAGGCTGGTCAACAACACCGCCACCACCAACCACACACAACCACCATCCCTCCCAACACAACCACCACCACCAACCCCCCAGTCTCCCAAGAACAACAACACCACCACCACTTATTATCCTCCCAGCACCACAATCCCCTCCACCCCCTCCCCCACGCCTTCTCCTCCTTAGCCGCGGGCAGCAGCAGCAGCAGCCAGCAGCTTCCCCGTGACGCGAGCTCCATCCCCCCAGACTCCCCCAGCACAGACGCTCCCCGCCCCCCCCCGCCCCGCCGGCTCTCGCGGTGCGCAGCGATCTTCGCCTCCTCCTCGCCGGACAACTTGCAGCGCGCGTCCCGGACGAGCCCAAGGGGAGCTGCTCCCGCCCGGTCACGAGTCGTCGCGGGGTCCCCGCGCTGCGCAGGCGATTGGAGGTCCTCCCGCAGCTGCTGCTGCCGCTGTTGTCGGCGAGCGCCTATTAAGGGGCCACACGCGTTGGTGGCGGCGCCGCTGCTGCTGTGGCCCTCCTCCTCCTCCCCCAGCTCACAGCAGCATCATCATCAGCAGCAGCAGCATCATCAGCAGCAGTGTTGGTGCCAAGCGGTGGAGTCGAGTGCGGAGCGACCCCCCGACGTGCCCGGCTGGCCACGCAGGGCGCGGAGCAAAGTTGGACGCGCAGGCGGAGCAAGGCGAGGGGGACCTCTGATGCCGGTGTCCGTGTTGGATTCTGGTGTCTGACATTCTCTCTCCGCTGCTGGCTTCGAGCCATCGTGGTCGCCAGCGATGGATCTGCTGCTGCTGCTGCTGCTGCTGGGCTCCGCGTGGCTCTGCGCCGAGGCGGCTCCCGTCTCCGACGAGCCGTGCTCGTGGACGGGCAGGTGAGCATCGCAATCCGCGGCGGTGGCGGTGATGGTGGCGGTGATGGTGGCGGTGATGGTGGCGGTGATGGTGATGGTGGCGGTGATGGTGATGGTGGCGGTGATGGTGGCGGTGATGATGGTGGTGGCGGTGATGATGGTGGTGGCGGTGATGATGGTGGCGATGATGATGGTGGGGGTGATGATGGTGGCGGTGATGATGCCGTGTGGAGGAATGGCAGCCGCCGCGCAGTTCGGCTCGTACACACGCGTCGATAGCCAGCCGAGAGTTCGGGGAAGACGCCCCTCGCACTCGCTGTGGTGGTGGTGGTGATGATAATGATGGTGGTGGTGATGATAATGATGGTCATGGTGATGATGGTGGTGATGATGATGATGGTCATGGTGGTGATGATGGTGGTCGTGGTGGTGGTGATGATGATGGTGATGATGATGGTCATGGTGGTGGTGATGGTGGTCGTGGTGGTGGTGATGATGATGGTGGTGATGATGATGGTCATGGTGGTGGTGATGGTGGTGTAGCATGGAGAGGCATAGCAGCGCCAGAGTGTATTCACAGCGCCAAGTCGTGGTTTATGCAGCCGGAGCGCTGCGGAGTGAATCTCAGAGCTGTAACGAGTCGGCAGCGGAGAGTTGTCCACTGTGAGATGGGCCCTCCTCGTGTGAAGCTGCTCGCCCACATTGAGGCTCCGTGAGGCTCCGTGTTGGGTGCGTGGGACATCCCCTGCCTCTGCGTGATCATGGTGTTGATGGTGATGGTGTTGATGGTGTTGTTCTGACGCTTGGGTGACTTGCGTCTCTGACCGTGGGGATGTCGATGGATGACATCTAAACTAATAAACTAATAAACTACTAAACTAATAAACTACTAAACTAATAAACTACTAAACTAATAAACTACTAAACTACTAAATAGTTTACCACGTAAGGCCAACTGAGCTACGTGGTTCTTTATCAGACGCGACTTGGCCACGAGTGAGAGCTCTGCGGAGTGGCTCCTCTTCGTCGCCGCGTGAACATTGATGGCAGCCAAAGCGTCTAAAGGCGCGACGTTGTTTCTGAATGACGACCCGAACAGCAACAATCGACGCGACGACGGGAAGAGAGACACAGCGAGCTGCACATGAACATCAGGCGAGGTGGTTAACACATCGCCACCGTTCTGTGCCCGGGGTGCGTTCGTGACGACTTAGCTCGGCTGGGTCCGAGCGCATCACACCCATAGCACGAGGTACGGGGAGACGGGGAGAGCGAGAGACGTGAGGATGCAGACAGACACGGGGAGAGAGCCGAGAGAGAGAGAGAGACGTGGAGACACAGGGAGGAGGGATGGAGAGACACGTCGAGAGAGACACGGTCACAGAGAGACACGAGGAGGATGAGGTTCCTGTGGGGGGCGGTGGCTGGGACCCCCGTTTAAGGCCCCCGCTGTGGACGGGAGTCAGAATCTCTTCTTCATTTGTGCCGGAGGAATCCGATGGGTCGTCAAGCTCCACGGACGTGCGGGAGTTCTCGCAGATCTTCCCAATCGCGACGACCCGGGCCGGCGTCGGGGGGGGGGGGGTCGGGGGGCATCCGCGGGGCGTCTCCGATCGCCACCAAAACCTCGTCTCGCCCGCGGGTCCGGGACGCCGCCGCTATTTGGGCGCAGAGTTGTTGAGTTGGGAGTTCATGAGACGGAGGGCGAGTCACGGTTCGCAGCCGTCCTGTTCACTTTGCCAACGACAGGGTTTGCAGTTCACTTAATTCCGATACGTGTCGTGTGTGTGTGGATGAGTGTGTGTGTTCACGTATTTGTGTGTGTGTGTACGTGTTGTGTGTGTGTGCACGTGTTGTGTGTGTGTGCACGTGTTGTGTGTGTGCACGTGTTGTGTGTAGCGGTAGTGTAGCGGTTAGCGCGCTGCGCTACGAACCCGGCGGCCCGAGTTCGATTCCCGCTCACGGCCACCACCAGTGACGATTATCTGAACCGGTCCTGGGCGTCCCTAGGTCGACTCGGCATCAAATGAGTACCTGGTGCGGTGTGTAAACATCAAAGGCGGTCGGGTGTGGTGCTGGCCACCCACTCCCTCGTGTGCCGTTCCGGCCTTAATAGGTGCTCGCTAACAGCACTTGCCCCTACAATCCGTTAAGGGGCCGTCCATAAATAACGTCACACGATTTTAGACCCCCCCCTCGTCACACTGCGTACAAAAAGTCAGACCCCCCCTCAAATATGACGTCACAAAGCTCTGCCCCCCCCCCAAACCATATTTCCATTTTGAAAATAAAACATGCTTCAAATCGCTTTAAACTATTGTCATTGTAGTGATGTGGCGCTGCACTCTGATGTAGGAGAAAACATTTATTGAAAAGTCTATTTAATGAAGTAGAACGTGTTGTCTATATTTATTTAAAGTTGCGCATTTTGATGTGACGTCACATTTCTCAACCCCCCCCCCCCTCGTCACACATCGTCACAAATGTTTGACCCCCCCCCCAGGTGCGTGACGTCATTTAGGGACGGCCCCTAAGGATATACGGGGGATCTGTGTCTTTGTATTGGTATGTGTATATTTATAACTATTTGTATGTATGGGAATGCGTGTGTTTACATTGTTTTTGTATACTATATATGGGAATGTGTCATTTATGGTTATGCGTGTATATGAATCAAGTTTGTGTGTATATATGTATGGGTATGTGTGTGTGAATGGGTACATGTGCTTGCATGTGTATGGGGAACGGTGGCATAGTGGTTAGCGCTACAAACCCGGGCGACCAGAGTTTGATTCCCGCTCACGCCAGTGGCGATTACCTAAACCGGTTCTGCGCCTCCCCTAGGTCGACTCGGCCTCGAATGAGTACCTGGTGTGATGTGTAAACATTTTCACTGGGGAAACAAAGGCGGTCGGGCGTGGTGCTGGCCACCCACCCCCTTGTGCGTTGTTCCGGCCTTCATAGAAGTGCTACTCGCTAACAGCACTTTCCCCTACAGTCTGTGAAGGCTACACGGGGGATCTTTGGCTCGAGTGTGCGTGAGAGATCTAGGAGGGCGACTTTGTCTACTGCTGCACCTTCTGTACTCGGGCCGGCCACCTTCTGCTGTCATTTTAGAGATTAATTGGAGCTTACAAACATAACAATAATTAACTGTTTTATTGTAGGACTCTTTGTCAGGAAGCGGCCTGCGTTCGAGTTTTTATTTTAAAATGTTTTAAACCATTTACTGATGAGTGTTCATGATACGTGTGGGAGGAAACCGGAGCGCCCAAAGAAAACCCAGGCGCACGAGGGGGCAACGCTCGATCCCCGTACAGATGGAAAAGGATGGAAAAATAGTCGGCTTGCTGTACCGCCTTCTCCTGGCGAGCCAGGGCACGGCACCTCCACGACGCGCAGGGGAACGGAGTTTCGCAACCGCCGTGCGGTGATCCACCAACCCTCGCTGCCGCCTCCACAGTGCTGCATGACTACAGGCCTCCTGCGGAGCCACCCACACTACACAATGGCAACTTTGTCTCTCTGACTTTGTACCCAAACTCTCATCGTAATCCTCACGAATTAAGACGCCCTCAAGCGAATTGTGGCCCGGAGTACGTTTCCGATTTGAGGCTCCTGGCACGATCCCCCCGACCCTGCGCAGCGTAACGTCACTTTCCTCTCACCGCATCTTATCACCCAATTTGCATTCCACTTTGTTGCAATGCCACAGCATCGAGTCCTGTAAATGAGGAGAAACCCACGACACTGTCACGGAACGATCAGCGCAGTGCGGCCCGGGAAAACCCCACGAGATTCGAACGTGTTCAGGAATGCACTCAACAACAACAACCATCAACAGGAATGCACTCAACAACAACAACCATCAACAGTTCCCGAAGAGCTGCATCGTGGAGAAAATCGACGCCGTGCAGCGGGAGGAAGAGGCGGCACTTGTGGAGCTCTGCACAGCGAGCGTTGCACCCCACCCCCCGTTGCCAGAGGTTGGCCACGGAAGTGGCCGTCGCAGACCTACGTCTGAGGGTCGCTTTGTGCCCTGCCGAGAGCGTTGGCTGGCATGGGCGCTCCTCAATCATCACCACCCCCCCGCCCCCCTTTGTCAAATGCCCACCGCCCCCCCCCCCTCTCTTCGTATCCCCCTCTGGCCCATGGGCCTCAGTGGTGCAGCGGCTGCACGGACTTGAGCCGATTTCAGCGCCGAGCCAAATGTCACGCGATGGGACGCCTCCGCGTGGTCGCCATTGGTGCCTGAGCTCAGACACGAACTGGCTGGCGACGACACCGCCGCTGATTCTGCTGCTGTGTTGGCATTGGCAGCGGTGCACGGGCACAATTAACAACAACTGGACACGTTCACCAATGAACGACACCGCGTGCATGCATGCGTGGACTTTAAAGGAAAGCGAAGACAACCGGTGACGATTTGCGCTATGACCCTTCCTCGTGGCACTGTGTTTGAGAAGTAGGTTTAATTAGTAGTTTAATTAGTAGGTTTCGTTAATTATAGGTAGGTTTAATTGCGGGAAGCTGAATCTCAGATTGGAACCTAGTGAGAACTCAGAAGTGTCAGCTCTGTGTCGATGGACCCTGAGCCACTGGTAACCACCTCATCGCCTCCGCTGACCCCATCGCCACCGGTGACCTCATCACCACTCATTCTGCGATGGGTCCCAGCCCTCCTGTTCTCCACGTAGCGTGCACATCGCCTCGCTGCGTGGAGCAGGCAGGGGGTGCCTTGGCCTCCCCCCTGGTGGCCAGAGCTACGAGTTTGACAACCACCATGAGATTTGTTTTCAACAACAGTGTACAAGAACTTATTTAAAACGGAGCGCCACTACGGAGTTGAATGTTCGAGACCGTGAGCGTAACGATGTCATTACATGAGAGCAGCTGCGATATATAATAGCCTACGGTGTGACCGTGCAAGACAAATCAAACATTGGGGCCCCCATCTGACTGATTGCCACACACCCTGAGCTGATAATGTAGTCATTACGCCACTGGTTGTAAGACATGATAACTTCAATGCAGTTCTACAGGAACTAGTGGTTTCCTGCGCGAGGCCGAGAGCTGCTTGCGCAGAGCACGGGGTATGCGAGTTGTCGCCGTGTTTCCGCCCTGCGCTGCGATGAGTTTTTCTCGGCAACTCGGAGATTGGAGCCCCTCGACCTGTGCAGCGGGAGGCCTCGTGGAGTGCGCAACCAGTGGCGCGGCGCTCGAGTGTGCAGGTGGTGCAGCTGCTGCACCACTGGGGTCCTTGTGCCAGAGGGGGCCCAGTGGGCTACGAAGAGGGGGCGGGTGGTGGGCATTTGACAAGGGGGGGGGAGGGGGGGTGATGATTGAGGAGCGCCAATCCCAGCCAATTCCTCGATGAGTTTTTTTTATTGCTTTGCAATTGTGAGGAAACCAGAGACCCCAGAGAGCGCCCAGAGGGCAGCAGGGGGACAGCGCCTAGAATCCACGTGGACGAGTCGGGTGCCGGCGGCTGCTGCCCGTAACCCAGCGCCGTGGAGGCAACAGCGAGGGTTGGTGGCTCGCCGTACGCCGTAACGCTCTGACCCGCCCCGAAAAAGAGCTTGATAGCTCATCGGATTCCTCCAGTGTAAATAAATATTCTCATTCCGATTCTGAAGTGCTGTGAAACTCCCCTTCCTGTGGGCATCAAGGGAGGTGCCGTACCCTGGCTCACCAGGAGAAGACGGCGCAGCAAGTGTGGCGTCTACCTGTCCCTTCTGTATGGGATAGAGTGTTTCCCCCTCATATGCGTGGATATTCACCGGGTGCTCCAGTTTCCTCCCACATGTAAACACTGAGTTATTGGCCGCCAACTAATTTATACATGGAGGGCCGCAGAGCTTGGGAAATTGGCTGCCGCCTTTTGCTTGCCCGTGGTTCCTCGCGTCTCCGAGTCGTTCGCTCTCTGCGAGAGTGACGACTGTGCGGCCACACGCTACAAGTTGAGATTACTATTTATAATGATGAATCAAGAGTGGCTGTCCGGAGTGTGACCCACGCTCTCGGCAGTGTCGGTTCGGGGACTCGACTCGGTGCGTTTACATTCTGTGCCACGTGTCCCCACCCCCGCCCGCACCCTAACATCAAAAAACGAAGATCTCCCCGTGTAACCTGAACAGACTGTTGGGGCAAGTGCTGTTAGCGAGCAGCACCCGTGAAGGCCGGCACGGCACTTCCGATAATGACGATGTCGTCTTGTAGACGTGCCCACGCCGGCGACTCCTTCCGACGATCGGTCCGAGCAAACCTCGGCCCGGGGGATCCGAACTCGTCGACCCGGTGGTCCGGAGCGGGGCTGCCGCTCCCCCGCGCCGCCGAGGTTTCGGGGGAGGCGTCAGCTCGGCGCTCCGGCCCGAGCCCCCGCGTGACCCCGCTCTCCTCCGCCGTCTCTCCTCCGCCGTGTTTACCAATATCCCCCCATTCAGATGCAAATGTGGGCAGTGACGCGTCGCCCAGCTCCTTTCACTGGCCGCCCTTTCTCCCCCGAAACCGCGCAACCCGCACTTTCCCACCGAGCACCGCACGGCTCCTGCATTAATTACGTCTCATAAAGGAGCGCTCACAAGAGCCCTTCGTTTTCTCTTTACCCTTCGCCACCCCCCCTACCCCCTCCGTGCCCCCCCCCCCCACCACCATTCGACGGCCGCGGTCGCATCCCCGTGAGAACGGATTCGCAATCGCGACCCCTGGTTTAGGGAATGTTGGTGACGAGGACCATGCGTGGATTGGGCCACATGTTGTCGATTTTTTTTTTACTTTTCTTTTTTTACTTTTCTTTTTTTACTTTTGACGACACCCCCCGTGCTCACTCCCCGATGAAGCTCAGGCTCAGGTTTGAGCAGCGAAACGTCACCGTGTGCGTACTCTCCGATGGCGAATTCGCGACTGCGAAGAGCCTCCAGCCGCCGCCTGCTGAGGAGAGGAGCTTCGTCGGTTGGAATTTCGATGAAGCCGTGGGGCACGCCAAGCACCACGACCGTCCTGCCGGGCGGCGGAGGGTTCACCACGAGACTCTTGGGTCTATCGCCACGGTGTGGCCCCAACGCCCAGTGTTCTAAGTTATGGAATTGGCTCAAACACGCCAAGTGCAGGGGGGGCCCTCTGTAAGACGAGCCTTGAGACTCGGTAAAAGGCGTTTTCTTGAATAACATAACTGGCATTACAGCTCAGCCCAGAAGAAGGCCCCGTCGCCCGAGTTTATAGGCTGCCTGCGACTACGGTGGTGCTGCAGCGATAGTGCAGGCGGTGCCACTCCACTGGGACACAGCCGCGTCTGTCCCGGTGCAGTTGCACCGCCTGCACACCCAGAGGGGGCCCAGGCTGTGGGGTACAAAGAGGTGGGGGAAACTCTTGGGGAGGGGGGGCATTAAATTCCCCGCACCAGGATCCACGCCCCCCGGTCACCCTGCGCAACTCTCCTGCCGCGTCGATCCGCGCCTCTTGTTGTAGGGCAGCGTCGGCGGTGAACGTGGCTCAATGCGGGGGGGGGGGGGCAGTGCATAACCTGTTGAATAATGGACGGCATCCACGTGTGTGTGTGCTATGGGGAGCAGTAGTGCACTGGTTAGCGCGCTGCGCTACGAACCCGGCGACCTGAGTTTGATTGCCGCTCATGGCCAACACCGGTGACGATTATTTGAACTGGTCCCGGGCCTCCCCTAGGTCGACTCGGCCTCAAATGAGTACCTGGTGCGGCGTGTAAGCATTGCCACTTGGGAGACACTAACAACAGTTTGTTAAGGCTACACGGGGGATCTTTGTCTTTTGTGTGTGTTGCGCAGCGGACTCTCCCAGAATCCGCGCTCCGTCTCGCAGATCTACCTGCGCTGCGCCCAGGGCTCCGTCGACTGGCTCTACCCGCAGGGAGCCCTGCAGATCCAGCTGCCCGTGCCCCCGACGCCGCCTTCCCCAGCGGCGACGGCGCCGGCGACGCTGCCGGGCAACCCGGGTGCCGGCGAGGCGTCGCTGTGCGTGCGGGCGGCGCGAGGCTCCCGCGGCGCCAGCGTGTTCGCCGAGCAGCCCTGGGGTCTGGAGCTGCTGCTGGCAGAGGCGGAGGCCCCGGGGAGGGTGCGCTGCACGCCGCTGCCCCTGGGCCGGATCTACGTGCAGGCGGCGCCGCAGACCGACATCAGCCGCCACGTCGCACGCTTCCGCTTCGAGCTGCGCGCCGCCGGAGACACCAACGGCGTGGACGCCGGGCGCGGTGAGCAGCGGTGGAGGGTGGGGGGGTGGTGGGGGAGGGGAGTGGGGAGGGGGTGGTGGGGGGGTGGGGGAGGGGAGTGGGGAGGGGAGTGGGGGGGGTGGGGGGGTGGTGAGGGGGCCCACGTGTGTCCTGAGGAGCGGGAGAGTTGGGACGAAGGCACAACTCGTCCGAATACCGGTCCCCCCCACGCTTTACTGCCACGGTGCAGGTCGGCAGGGTCGTTGGGTCTCAGCCGTTGGGCCCAATCGCGATGACCAAAACTATTAAAACTAATCTTGAACTATTTTTATTTGACCAGGTAAGGCCCACTGAGCTACACAGCTTTTTTTCAGAAGCGGCCTGGCCACAAATGATAGCTCAACTAAGTGGCTTTTTCCTCGTGTGGACATTTATCGCAGCCAAACATTCTAAACGCGTGATGTTGTTTCTAAATGTGGAGAGACAAAAACACCTGGAGAGTAGGCAGAGAAAAATCCACGCGACCACGGGGAGAGAGACACCGCAAACTCCAAATATACAGCAGCAGGCGTCAGGGTTTAGGTCGAACCCAAGACCTCCGGTATACCAGGGGCGACGGGCACTGCCACCTCCTGGCCGCGCATCCCAAACCCTGCACTTACAACACCTGGCAAGCCTCAGTGGCCACTCAGAGAGCGAGTCACCAGGCCCCCCGCCTGCTTGGCCTTCGCCCATCCAGGGATCATGTGGACATTTATAGCAGACAAATACTTTCAACGTGTTTCTAAATGTAGAGGTAAAAACCTGAGGACCCAGAGAAAAATCCACACGACCATAAGGGGAACATGCAGACTCCAAATATACAGGCATCAGGGTTGAGATGGAACCCACGACCTCCTGTATACCAGGTGAGGTAATTAACATATCCTAGCCACCGTGATGATGATGACAGAGAGAGAGGCAAACAAATATACAGCAGGCATTGTCAGGGTCGGAATTGAACTCACGACCTCCTGTATACCAGGCAAGGTGGTTATCATCTCGCCACCGTGGTGCCCATTCCACCCGATACCATCACGTTTCGGAGGTTGAGTCGAGTGCGATTGCTACCTGGATCGGAAACTGCCGGGGAATTTCGCAGCTCTTTGTCGGCATTGGCTGCGAGGTGACCAGTGAGTGTCACCTCCTCGTATTAGCGCTCGAGTTTGTCTCCAAGTTCTCGGGTTTCCTCCCACAAAAAGCCAAACAGATATGATTATGAATTATGAACAGATGTCGCCATCGCTCAGGATCCCGCGACATATGTATGCATTTTGAACTTGTTTCGCGCCGTACTTAGCCAACCGTGCTAATTGGAGGTATGGTGCCAAAATCCGTCCTACTCCCCGCACGGGCGCCGATCTCGTCCCTCCGTCGCCCTGCCGGTCCCGTCCATGGGCCAACAAAAAGCCCCTCCAGCCGTGGTGTTTCTCCCTCCCAAGCCCCACTTACTTTCCATTAACAGCCGTGACAAAGATGTCACGGCTGTTATTACCGCCCTTTAATTGTGCCCCATCATTTTCTAATTTTGGATTTAGGTCATTCGCGCTCTGCTGCACTCAGCCCCGTGCGCCTCGCAGCCTCTGCACAAAAACGGACGCTGCTGCTCGGCTCCCGCGTTTGTGGTGAACCTCCGCCGTTTTTGAATCGTCGTTTTATCCAGGTCGGCGCGATACCGACGTGCAACATCGACCGGCTTGCCCCCGTTGCACGACGGAGAGCGCACATCCTCCAGACGTGGGATTTTTACCGAATAAATATACTCGCGCTCGGGAAGCAACGAATACATTTGGTGAGACCGCTCGTGAGCGCCAAAGCATCACCCCGGGACGGCGACGTCACCTGGCCCCGAGCGGGAATCGGCAACGCCTCTGGGTTTTCGGCCGCTCGAGTGGCCTCGATGGCAGTGCTCCACCCCTTCCCCCCCCCCACTCACGATGCCAACGGCCTCCCTCAGCCTTGCACTGCCCCAGCAAAGTTATTTCTGAAGTTATAAAGCACCCGCAAAACGAGATCGCATCACCGCGATCCTCCGATCCCTCCACCGGCCCCCAATCCAATCAACTTCAAAGATCGCAGCACTCGCTAGATTTCGATACCCTCCAAGGACTGGTCCCAGCCAACCTCGCCCCTCCCATCTCACTCCGTACACTCTCCTCTCTCTCCCCTCCCACTCTACTTCCCTCCCCTCCACGCATTATCGGCTCCAGCAACTAAGATCACACCATAAGTTGAATTGGACACGCTTTACCTCGCTGCCAGCGATACGTTCACAGCATGGCCAAGCTTTCAGTCTCGGCGCTGCCACGGTCTCGCCACGAGCCACACCGCTGCCTCCACCGCATCAACAGCAACAACAACAGCAACAACAACAGCAACAACAACAGCAACAACAACAGCAACAACAACAGCAACAACAATAGCAACAAAAACAGCAACAGAATCTCGATGCATTTGCATAGACAGCACGGCAGCACTCGGGTGGGTGGGGACGCGGCCGCAGTGTGGCTCCCGTGGCGGCTGCCCTGGCGGCTACCCTCCGCGGACACTAAACGTGTCCCGCCCGTGACGTCGCCACGTGTACGTCGTGGCGGGGGGGGCGGCGCCTCGCCTCACAGTCACGAGGGTGCACATTTCAAATCCCGTGCGAAGCGAGGGTCTCAACGACGAGAGCAATGTCGCCACGGGCTATCGCCGAGCGACGTCACCTTCTCTGACCGACGCCCGCCGTTCGCCCACCGCCGCTCGTCCTTCTGTCAGCTCGTTGGCCCACGCCAGCAGCCCGCGGCCATCACTCGCCGCAGCTCTCTCCCCCGGTACATGAACTGGTTTTTCCCACCACCAACCCCCCTTAGTCCCCTCCGCTCATCAGTAATGCCTCTAAAGCTGTCGCCGATGGCGCACGACACACGGCTCCGCTGCCTCGGAGGTGAAAAACACCGATTCAGGTCTGCCGCGATAAATCGTCGCAGTGATCCAGCACAAGTGACGGTTGCGACGTTTTGTCTCTGAAAGCCAGTGGGGGGGCGGGGGGTGAAACAGATAGAAGAAGAGGGCGCTTATTTTTCACCGCCTCCCGACGTCTCGGGTGAAACGGGCTGAGGTTATTAGTGTGTCGCTCACGAGAAGTCAAAATGTTTTGAGGACAGCACAATGGAGACCCCCGGACACCTTTCGCAGGTTCGTCACCGCACGCCCCCCCCCCCCTCCTCCGACGGCTCCTCCGGGGCCTGAGCCGGGGCCTCGCAAATAATCGGCGAGTCAAACGCGGCTCCGGCGACGGCGTTGACAGCGGAGCCGAAGCGCTCCCAGACAATCGCGGGCAATCGCCGTTTTGACTCGGATTATTATTTTTTCGCACGCACTGACACACACTGCGCTTTTACGAATGCATTCGTGAAGACCGTGTAACCCATATCTGCTAATGGGAAGTATTCGCGTGCCGGCTGTTGAATATTTCACTGCCAGCGTGGTGCACAGCATCGCCTCCAAACCGTCGCTGGGATTCCAATGTTGCTTTTGCGCTGGCACGAGAGTGGCTCTCTGAGCGAACGAAATATTGCGTCGATTAAAAAGAGAAGGGAGCGACACCCCGCCCCCCCACCTCGCGAACGCTCGCACGCCTCCGATGCAGCGATCTCTGCCCTAACTAAGGGGGAATTGTTATTTTTTTCCTGCCGTGTATTTTGTAGACGAGTGCCGGCCCTGCACGGACGCCGAGATCCTGCGGTCGGCTTGCAGCAGCGACTTTGGTGAGCGCATCCCCCCCCCGCCCGCCCTCGCCCCCCCCCGCACCACCACTCTCACGATCCGCCACGAGCGTCGCTCAAAATATTTTCTGTCCAGCACGCGATAAATTATTGTATCCTTTTATTAAAATAAAACAAAAAATCCACGTTCCTATGATGGTAAAAAGTAATGATAATGTCTTGATAGCATCGGTGTACATCGTAATGTGGCGATGATGTAATTATTTTTCTTGTGAAGTGTTATTTTATTTGTGTAGGCCATATCTTAAAACAGGCTTTTTAACCCCTTCCCATTCCGAGACGTCTGCAAGTCGCAGGACGGGGTCCCGTTCACCGCAGACAACTGTAGCGACACGACCACAGCACTCTACGATAGCTAGCGCCAAACTGTGCCACATGCCCTCCCGCACGGCTTTGTGGGAGCTTCGGTACCAATTAAGTTATTTTATTTGGTGTTAAATTGCCAAGTGGGGCAGCCACGATGGCGAGTTGTTAACTACTTCACCTGGTATACAGGAGGTCACGTGGATTTTTCTCCGGATACTCCAGTTATTCCCTCCACATTTAGAAACATGAGTTTCGAGTCAAGGAGCATTAACCATCACATTCACTCCGGTCATCCTCGCAGCACCTAACAAAGATGGTCACTGCATCGCACGCTGTTAGGTCCGCTTCTGCGGCCATCTGGAATGCCCTTCCTACCGATATTAGGGACCCACTGGAGCTATACACTTTTAAATCCAGATTGAAAACGAACTTCTTTAGAACTACTTTTTGTGTTTAGTTAGTTGTCCTTCCCCCGCACCTACTATTAGCACGGTTGGCTACGTACGGTGCGAAATAAGTTAAACATACGTACAGATTATTTGGCTGCTGCTATACATTTTCACATCATAAGCCACTCTGCTGAGCTATCATCTGTGGCTAGGTCGCTTCTAAAAAAGAGCTAAGTATGGCATCAGTGGGCCTTATTTGGTCAAATAAAGAACATCGTTTTGTTTATAATCGCAAGTCACCATCCTGCGTTCTCACCTGTGGTCTCCCTCGGTGAGGTTCTTTATTGGCCTAACCCCTGCTGTAGGGAGCGGGGGGGGGGGGGGGGGGATTTGTGGCAAGAGCCTCTTGATTGCTCCCCGAAGCGCCACTACGACCCCCTCCCCCCTCCCGACCTTTAAAGGTCACGGCGATGCGCGCCGAACGTGTGGGAAAGTGCCGGCCGCTCGTCCGCCGTCGCTCCGGGACTGGTGGGGGGAGGTGGGGGGGGAGTTCGTTCCGCTCTTTCTCTCGCGCGCTCACACGCTCCAAAACGCACGAGCAAGTGAGGAATTACACTGGACAGGCCGACAGCAACCTTGGCGCTTCAAAAAACGCGCTTCAAAAAGCGCGTTTCGAAAAACGCGCTTCGAAAAACGCGCTTCAAAAAACACGTTTCACAGGGGCCAAATTGATGCGTTTTGAGTCGAGCGCAACGGTAGGGTGGGGTGGGGGGGGTTAACCCTTTGAAAGTATTTAGCACTCGGTGGCCCGATAAGAACAAGCCGTTCAGATCGGTGAAATAATTCGAGGCACTAAAAATAACTCGGCGGTGGGGGGCCGGTATTAGAGAGAGCTTTCAACGCAGTTAAGAGTGAACGATTGCCGCGCTGTTTTCACTGCTGACAATAATTTGCCCGCGGGGGGGGGGGAGGGAGAGAACCGTCTCCCATCCCGCGCCGCCAAAACTATTCTCGGGCCCCAAACGAGAGGAGGTGATGACAGTGAGGAGTAGAAGGGGGGGGGGGGGCGTGCATTGTGGTGGATCGGGCACGGAGCCTGTTGACTCTCGGGGAGCAGGCTGTCCAAAGTGTTGGCTGCGTTCTTCCCCCCTGGGGCCCAGCACCTGGGCCTCGCCCCTCTAATTTGCTGGGGTTTTGTTTTGCTTGCTCGACATGTCATCAGTCATTTTCTGTGTTTTCTTCTTCTTTGAGATATGTATTTTTAAACTCCTTTTTAGAAAGGACCAAAAAAACTGTTTTGAACTATTATCTGTCGGGTTGAGATGTGAGTAAGAGAGCAGAGGTCACTTTTTCCAAAAATATAATTAACACCTTCAGTGGGGAGCCTCTGCGTGGGCCACACGGGAGCTGCGTTGACGATGGCAACGATGATGACGACGACGATGACGATGACACGTTGAGTAATGAACGGGGTTGTTTAGAGTTCACCACCCCCTCCCCCTAGCAGTGAATTGAATTGTCCAGATTCAGGGCCGCGGTTTGATTTGAGAATCAATTATCTGTTTAGCAGCGTAATGAACGTAGCCTCTCTCGTGGCTGTGCAAGGGTTGCACGAGCCGATTGCACGCGGCAAACGTGAACACAAAATACCCAATATTAACACGCACGTATCATGACCATAAGGATGGATTCTAAAAGATGAATGAATGCGTCATTGCGTGCCTCGTCATGTTAATGATCACGATGAAGATTAGTGATGATGATGACGAAGACGGTAGGGGGGATGATGTCATATAGGGAGGACTCGCAGCGGGACGTCACATTAACGCCGCTAAAGTCGTGGTGGTGATGGTGGTGATGGTGGTGATGGTGGTGATAGTGGTGATGGTGGTGATGGTGGTGTCGCATGGAGAGGCATAGCAGCGGCAGAGTTTATTCACAGCGCCAAGTCGTGGTTTATGCAGCCGGAGAGCTGCGGAGTGAATCTCAGAGCTGTAACGAGTCGGCAGCGGAGAGTTGTCCACTGTGAGATGGCCCCTCCTCGTGTGAAGCTGCTCACCCACATTGGCACTTGGGAGTGTCCGTGAGGCTCCGTGTTGGGTGTGTGGGCTATCCGCAGCCTCTGTGTGATCATGATGGTGATGACGAAGTTCTGATGATATTCAAGTTGTAAAAGAGTTGCTCCTCTGGCTGGAGGGGAGGGGGTCAAAGGACGAAATTCTGCCTGCAGCATCCATGTGAAGTTCACGATGATGACAAGGATTATTGAAGCTGTTAATGACAATTATTTGAACTGTTGATGGTGGCTGTCACGGCAATAGCAATGATGACGATGAGGACGATGACGACGGTGGTATTGTCCATCTCGCCGGCAGTGATCGGAGGCCACATCCTGAGCGTGCACCCGGACCGCGACGCCGACGAGGCCGTCATCGCCGTGCGGGTGGCGCGCGTTTACCGGCACCGGGGGGACGTTGACCACCGCCTCCGCCGCCTCCTCCTCCCCCCCCCCGCCGGGGATCTCGGCGTCGGCAACGCGACCGGCGCCCAGGAGCCGCCGCCGCCGCTGCTGCTGGTGCGGACCCCGCTGCGCTGCGGGGCGCGAGCCGGCCGCGGCGAGTTCCTGCTCGCCGGCTCGCTGCACTTTGGCCGGCCGCGGCTCGACTGCGCGCCGCGCCTCCCCGACTTCCGACGAGCGTACGAGCGCGCCGCCGGCGCCGGCCCCTGCGAGATCGACGTCGGCTAGGACCCGCGCCGCCGCCGCCGCCGTCGTAGCCCCCCTCCTCGCCCTCGTAATCGTCCGCCCCGCGCGTGGGCTTCGGGTTTGTTGAGCGGCCGACCGGAGCGCCTCGCCCCCTCGTCTACTGCTGGGGAGTCGCCGCCAACGAGACGCTGCCCGCCCCCGATGGACGCTGCCCGCGCGGAACCGTTGGGCGCTCGCGAGCCGCGGTGCGCGTGCCGCACATGCCGCACGACGTGGCGAGCACTCGCCGACTCGCCGTACGGAGTTTGCCATCGACGAAGTTCGCGATGGGTTTTGCGTCTCCTGTGTGTATATATCCGGGCTACGGCTCCAGCAGTAAACGTGAACGCTTCCCGCAAAGAGACAGCGCTTGTAGCGATGAAGACAGAATAACAGGATTGTGCCATTAATGGGAATGTGGAATTTTCCGCGATTGGCCAGGGACCATCGGTGGACACAAGCGAGCATCGCCCAACATCCGATTTTACTCGGAGCCTCTCGCTTTATTTTGCATTGTGTACAGTACGGTCAGCATTGGGACTGCCAATGCAACTTCCTTCGTGAACAAAAGCAACTCGCGTCTTCTTGGCATTCAATAAAAACGAGACTGCAAGCTGCTGCTACCGCCGCCGCCAATTACGATTGAGCCACATGCGATGAGCATCGTGCAAACAACTCGGGCCATGGAGAGGGCGCGCCCTGCACGACGGTTTGCGGTCATCGCCAGCTCAGCCCCGAGGTGGAAAGTAGCTCAAAGGAGAGGGGCGAATTCGTTGGAGGGCGGTGGGGGGGGGAGAGGGAGGCGGGGGGCCACCCACGGGAGTGGCTGTGGGGAGCGATGGGGTTTTTATAGCGCGCCGAGGGCTCCTAGAGAACGCGCTGTGCCCGTGCTCGCAGCTGACATTTTTGAGCGAATGGAAAAAATCGGAATCGAGCGACAGCTTTGCCGAGAAGAGCGCGGTGATTATTGTGTTTTGGCTATTTTTTTTATTTACAGGAGTGACCCGGGCTACGGCGTCTTAAAGTTTCGCAAAACCTGCTCGGCAACATAATGGAGCAATGCATAAAAAGAAAAATGCCGTGAAAGCTTCAACAGCATTAATAACTGACAAACGATAAAGGAGTTTAATGGGGGATTTGAAACATAAAACTCAATAATTGGGCCACGATTTTCAATGGTCTGTCAATCAATGTGCGTTGGTGAATGTTAAAAATGTGGTACAACTCTTGAGAATCGAGGCGGGACTTGTGTCACGAGTGCTGGTGGTGCAGACAATGACGATGATGACAACGATGATAGTAAAACGTTGAGTAATGAACGAGGTCGTAACAGTTCCCACCCCCCTCCTCCCCCCAGCAGTGAATTTAATTGCCCAGATTCAGGGTCGCGGTTTGATTCGAGAATCAATAATGTGTTTAACAGCGTAATGAACGTAGCCTTTCGAGTGACAGCAAGGGTCGCACGAGCTGATCACACGCAAAAAATATTGAATGCAAAATACCCAACATTAACAGGCACAGTTATACGCATGTATAATGACCATAAGAATCGATTTTGATCCATGAATTAATGCGTCGTTGTGTGCCTAGTCGTGATGACGATGAAGAATAGTGATGATGAAGGTGGTAGCGGTGATGATGTCGTATGTAAAGCAGGACGTTACATTAACAAGTCTTAAGAATCAAGTATCCAAATATTCAGCACAGGCAGCAGCATCTATCTTGGCTTCTACCTCAACAGCATTGTGCCTCCCAGCCTCCTCCCCCTCACCTCCTCACCACCCCTCGCCTCGCTTACTTCCTGCCCATGTCATCTTTCACCATTGTGTTTGTCTGCTGGACGTCTGTGAAAAAGAGCTTTATAGTTCATTGGATTCTTCCAGTATAAATATTCTCTGAACTCTTCCCAGCTCGATCGAAGGAAGAAAAACCTCCTTCCCGCCATCTGCCGCATATGTGTCACTGTGCCGGGCATTCGTGTCAATGATGTCGTTTGGGCATGAGCAATTACTTAACTTTTTTGCGTAGGTGTCACTTCAGGAGACACGGTGCCACTCCTCTGAGGACGGATTTCCCAATTGTCTCCCAATCCGCCGTGTCCCGATGATCACACATTTCAACTGCAATCCCTTACGAGCATGTTATTTCATTCAGAACACTGCTTGTGCGCTGGCTGCTGGATATGAGTTCGACTTGGCGCTGCGGTGGCGAGATGTTAACTACCTCGCCTGGTATACAGTAGGTTGGGGGTTCGATCCCGACCCTGACGCCTACTCAATATTTGGAGTTTGCATGTTCTCCCCGTGTTTGCGTCCATTTATCTCTGGGGTCTTCTGGTTTTTCCCTCCACATTTAGAAACATGTGTTCTATAGTATTTGCCTGCTAGAAATGTCCACGTGATAAGCCACTTCATTAGGCTATCATTTGTGGCCAGGTCGCTTCTGAAGAGCTGTATAGCTCAGCGGGCCTTACCTGGTAAAATAAAAATAGTAAAATAGTGAGTGAATCCACGAGGTCTTGTGACACATTTGTTGGTTCATTAGGGGCAGTAATTAATCCACTTGAGCCGGACCAAAGGACACGATGACAGGTCCCATAAATGTGTGTGGGTATGAGAAGTGTGCGCAAACAGGTGTACTGCATGTGCCTACTACAAAAAAAAACACATCACTGTGAAATTTCAGAGGTCATGTCACCACTGACCCAAAGAATCTGTTTGACTGTGTTTTCAGCATAATGGTCGGTACATTGCTGATGCAGGGGGCAAGTGCCAAAAGAGAGATCCAGGGCCCCCAGGGAGTTGGGCCGGGGGGGGGGCTGTCTTTTTGTCCCCAGTGAATGAGGGAGCCCCACGCGTATTGATAGACATCGCAATGTCGACGATGGTGACGCCAAGCGCGATGATGTCAAAAGGACGTTTTGTAATTCAGTATTACCTGAAAACACTGATGCCTGTGAGGGGCACTTTCTCACGTGGGAGAAGCTCACCTGGTGTGTATATATGTGTGTGTACATATGTCAGTTTGCAATTATGCTCGGGATGTTGCCACGGTGTGATGGTCAGCACACTGGACTTGCAATCCAGAGGTCGCCGGTTTGACCTCCCAAGCACGACGGTTGAAACAATGGAGCCGTTTCTTAATATCCTCTTGCCTTTGTCCACCCAGCGATGTCCATATGCACCACAGCTAGTCCATCGGCAGGTTGCATGTGCTGTAAAGTGTCGGTACTCCCAAGACGTCTGGCCAGCGTGAAAGAGTAGGCCAAATACCCCGCCAGTGGAGGCCCTTTGATGAGCAATAAAAATTGAAGGGCTGCAGATTCACCCTCAAGCTCCGTGTCACCATCCTCTGTTTTGTCTTATCCTGCACCCTGTCTTTCTTCAGCTGAAGCCAGCAAAACGCAGCTGTGCACAAGCACTCGTACGTATCGTAATCACATTCCCCAATTCACAGAGCAACAGACGTTCGGCTTGCATTTGTAAATTGACCAGTAGACTTTGGAACATGGAACGGGGTGAGCAGTTTGCAAAGCCCTGGATAAAAAAAAACGCACGTGATAAAAATGTTACTAGAAATTTTTTTGTAAATAAAAGAATGACGACGTTAATGACAACCCCACTCGCGAGCGAGACCGAGAAGAGATCCTTTCAGCATCACTCACGGGCAGGGTTCTGGCAACTGGGATCTTTTTCGTGGCCCCTGCCTGCAGGTTATGAACGTGAGAATTGAGTGACATCTGTAAATGTCTTCTGACAGAACGCGAAGGTCTTTATCAGCTGCCCATCTGACCCGTCATCATCATCTGACGTATATCCGTTAATAAGCGAACAAAATAACCACAGTTTTTAATGTTGCGCACTATCGATATCGGTGTTACGCAAGTACTGTATACATTCTTTAAAAATAAGACGTACTTGTATTTTAATATGCTTTTTTTTAACAAAGCTTCTCGTTGAAATAAAACAAACTGATTTGTAATATTTTTTTGCACATGCAGTAAAAGTGTGTGGCGTCACTGATTAAACCGTGTAGGTCTTGTCTGGTAGACTTATTTAATTTGCATGCATTACATTTAGACAAGGAGATCGTTTGTTCCTTATGGTCGTGGTCTCGAAAAACCAAACAATTGGGCCTTAAGGGAAAACCAGCCAGAGACATGTGATTCCTCCGCATCACTGGAACACGGCCTTTACACATAAATCGCCGTGCACAGTGCAACGCAAGCACGGCACATGGCACGGTGGCTGGGGGGGGAGGGAGGTGCAGGCTTGAGGGCCAGAGAGGAGGCCGAGGGGCTCGCTGCCTCCTGCCGCACGTGGTGAGCACACTGGGGCCTTCTGCCCACCCAGCAGTCTAGAAAGTGGGGGCACCTCAGGTGAATCCATCTGCAGGTGGCGCGTGGCGGTGTCGAGCTTGGGCACTCCCCGCCGATTCCAAGACATCTGGGCCAGGAGGACATCTCCCATCGAGTGGAGTCCCCCATAGCCAGCAGTGGCAAGAGCAAGCGAAACACAAACTCTCACACTGTTTTTTATTTTTACCAGGTATGGCCCACCGAGGCTATGTAGATATTTTTAAGAAGCGACCAGGCCACAAGTGATTAGCTGAATCGAAGTGGCTTATCATCATTGTCGAATTTTAGAGCAGCCAAATACTCTGAACGCGCAATGTTGACGCGACATGTGGAGGACCCGGACAAAAATCCACGCGACCACAGGGGGAGAGGACACGCAGACTTCGAATATCCAAGCATCGGGGTTGGGATCAAACCCACGACCTCCTGTATACCAGGCGAGATAGATAACATCTCGCCGAAGGGGTGCCCCAAGCTACTGCAGGGCTCCGCCTTTAGCTTCACTTACGGACCCGTTTGTTGGCCCATCACTCCATCGTGAGTGGTGCTCAATTCAACATTACATGCCAGCCCAGTGGTGATCATTCCACATTCCTATGGTGCCAACGTGCTGCGCTTTCGCCACCCGGCGCTCCGCTGGGCATGCGGGTTACATGACCCAGCCAACGCAGCCTTGCCTGCCGGAGGAGCTCACCGATGGAACTTTGTCCAGATCTTACAAGGATATGTGAGCTCCTCACACAATCCAGCCTGGTTAAACCCAGGATTGATCGTAGGCAAGCCAGCCTAAATGTTTCTAACCAGGGAAGATGTTCCATTAGGGGGGGTCCACGTTTCGCAAGCATAGAGAAGGGAGGGAATGTCTGTGGCCGAGAAGACCTGAAACTTCGTGCGGAGCGACAGACCAGGTAGCTTCCACACAGCGTTACGCAACCGATGAAAAGATAATGCCACTCAACTGATTCGGAGTGAGACATCTGCTGTCAAATCGGAGTCTGTCATGAGCACACTGCCCAGGTATGGGAAACTCTCCACACTCTCCACAATTGCCCTACTAGTTGGGAGTTGTGGGGGTGGAGTGTCTGATGGTACAAAATACCCAGGCAGGTACTTAGTTTTGGTGGGGCTGATGGTAAGTCCCCACCTCTTAGTGGCAAGCTCCAGGTTCAGAAACGCCTCCAACTCCTCCTTTGAGTGAGCAGCAATTACCAGATTATCGGCATACATAACATGGTTGAGCAATAGGGAGCCAACCATTGACCACACCTGGGCATCGATTAACCTCCCATTGTATCTCTACCAGATGGAAATTCCTCCGGTACAGCTATTGAATGCTTCGTGAACTACGTGGTCGAAATAGATGTTAAATAATGTGGGAGCCAGAGGACATCCCTGTCGCACCCAAAAGTGAACAAGGAATGGTTCCGACTCCCGGCCACGTCGTTTTACCCGGGCCCGCTCACCATCAGGAAGGTCCTTAATGATCAGGAGCAGCGGGTCAGGAACTCCGAAAGCACGAAGAGCAACCCAGAGCCCAGGCCTACTGATGGTATCATAGGCCTTGACCAGGTCAATAAAGCATAGATGTAGGTCTTTTTGGAAATCCCTACACCTCTATTGTAGCAGATAGTGCTGGACCGCCTTTTCCTAAAACCACATTGGGGCTCTGCAAGCCTCTCCTCAGTGTGCCTAGCAAGGAGATTCTAGATTTGAAGCTTTCGTGGCTGCAAGGATTCATACTCTTAGGTTTTTTCGGTAAAGTCACGTAGGTAAAAAATAAATAATAATAAATAATAGAAATCAAATAATAAATCACGACGTTTCGGAGGCAACACAAGTCTCCGTCATCAGGTGGGACCGTCACAGCTAGATTTACTGTCTCAAGTGAGACAAAATTCCAAGAGTCAAGCTCTTAAATATGTAGTGACATATGAGGGGAGGGGCTGCTGGGGGCTCTGGGACCCTAGGGAACCCAGACGCTTAAGCCCCTTGGCGCCAGGCGCTAGGTTCCCAGGCAACCCAGACGCTTAAGCCCCTTGGCGCCACCAACGGGGGGGGGGGGGGGCGCTGTGTGTGCTCTGTGGGATATCTGGGGGCGCACACAACCCCACCCCTCGTTGGGGACGAGGCATAAAAGGGCAGCTCCCTGGACGATCGAGGCCAGTTGTAGCTCAAGACCCAAGACCCAAGACCAGCCATCTGAGGACCCTGGGACGCTGTGAGGGCCAGTGGTGGGACTCTGGAACTCCCGGCTCTACGTCCTTGTGAGGGCGAGTTCCAGAGCGTAGCCAGAGTAGTGTATCTAGGCTGTGTACCTAGGCTGTGTACCTAGGCTGTAACAGAGTATCAGGACTGTTGGAGTGTTGGATTGTAATAAAGAAGTTACCTCTACAAGTGTCTCCGGAACCCATTACATTTGGAGTCAGAAGTGGCCATGGAGACAAGAAGTAAGCCACGTACCTTCAGTCCTGACGGCGATGTCGAGGAGCAAGCAGCGATGGGGCGGCCAACGCCGGCCGACAACGACGTCGCACCGCCGGCCGACAACGATGCCGCACCGCCGGCCGACAACGATGCCGCACCGCCAGCCGACGGCGACGCCGCACCGCCGGCTGAGCAGCTGTCTGCTCCGCCGACCGTCCCCTCTCCAGCGTCGGGAGCAGGGATGGAGGAGGCGCTGCTTCGCCTCACACAGCTGCTCTGCGCCACCGCCTCCCTCCTGGGCGAGATGCGGCGCTCACATGCGATGGCAGGAGGGAGAGAAGAAGAGCAGCGCTCGCCCGAGCCCGCCATCGCCGTTCCCGCCACCGGCATTCCCGCCACAAATGTGGGGGATACTTCCGGGAGTGTCGTCACTTCCGCCGGGGGAGCAATGACCGCTGGGAGCAACGTCACTTCCAGGCCCAGCGCAGTCAAACCAAACAACGCCGCGTCATCAGCGCTGCGACCTTTACTGCCGGACGACAGCTGGCTTCAACTTACCATACCGCATCATCAGCGCTGCGACCGGACAGTGAGGGCGCCATTCTTACTGTAACCGGCGCCGGGGCCGGTACATAGATCGACACGCTGGTCATCGCCTCTGCTCTGGCCAAAGGTTGGAGGTCGGGAGACCAGGCCCCTGACACTTCGTCCATTTACGCGCTCCGGGTTAATGATTTTTGTTGACATTTTCTTTGTTGTCGTCGGGGAGTCGTGATTGTTGTTGGGTAAACTGTGTGGAGCTTCGCTCGTGAGTGTTGTCAATGTGTGTGCGAAACTTTGCTTGTGATTGTTAACAATGTATGGTTTGTATGGAGCTTTGTTCGTAATTGTTAATGTATAGCTTGTGCTGTCATTGTTAACGATGTATAGACTGTATGGGGCATTTATCTTGAGATGGTGACATATTTGAGAGCCAGCACGACGAATTGTCGTGCTGGCTCTCAAATATCTTGGGGTGCAGATCCTGACCAGGATGGCTCAGTGGGTGTTGCGTGTCTAACACGAGAGTTGTGGTCCCGTCATGCTATGGCTGACGGTTTGACATGACAGCCCGGAGCCTAGTGGGCTGTGCGCTCACATCGCTCGGAGAGTGTGGTCCCGTCATGCAATGGCTGACGGCTTGACCTGACGGCCCGGAGGTTGAGACCCTCCGTGGTGCGTCTGGAGCTGTAGGCTCGCCCTGACGGCCCGGAGATTGAAACACTCCGAGGCACGTTGAAACAGTGGGCTGGAGATTCGTAGTGTTCAGGTGTAGTTGTCCCGTTACGTTGGGACTGTATCCCTCAGTTTTTAGGGTGCATGTTGTGCAGTTAGTGAACGATGGGTCATCTCAGCTCGGTCGGTACAGCTGTGTGCTGCGATGCGAGTCTTGGAGAGAGACTGGGTTAAAATTCCCCCGATATGGCTGACGCGTGCTACTCGTTGTGACGCCGCGTCGGAAAGGCGGTGGGGTGGTAACACGGAAATTCCCCCCCCCCCGATATG